CGAGAAATTTTTATTAAATCTCAGTCACTTTGACCATATTGGTATTCTCGGTGTTGGACTGGAACTAGCTTGCAGGTGAGGCTCATGCGGGGAATCTTTTCAAATGCAAATAGCATTTATCTCTTTTTAATGATATCCCCTCTATTGCAAGCTAGTTCCACTCCAATACTGTGTCTACAAATATTGCCTTTTGTGAGTTAGGTCTTGAATTAACCCGAGGATCACTTACTATATATATATATGTTTTGTTCGTTTCATTTATTTATTCGTTTTTTTTAGTAACGCTAAGGTTTTATAATTAAGATCATTTAGCGTTTTCTAGGGCGTGATCGCTTGCCTAGTCGTTTTGCGTGAGGCTAAAACTTAAAGGTTGTTGCCGAATCCATTTAGTATAAATCTACTAGCGTTCTATCACGAATGCCGTTCTCTGATTGGCTACGCTACTCACCATCTATTCTGTGATAGATAGTGAGTAGCGTAGAAGTGTCTTTGTTAACAAAATGACGGCCGCTTCTTGGCGTTTTCGAAGTGTCTGTGAAGAGGATTTAGATAAAGTTTTGAACGACTAGTAGATTTATACTGAAACGATTAGATTATTCGCTCTCGATTTCTATGCGTGATAGAAATCTCGAGCTTATAATCTAATTGTTAATGAATGTAATGCACGCATGCTGATAATATTGACAAGGGGATAAGAGGAGAAGCCTGGAAGAGGGGCTCCCGTATGAAAAGTTCGGGGATGCTCGACGAAAATTTGAATTTAACCCCTAAAGCCGCTAAAGGAGACCAATCATGGCGTGGATCGAGAATTAATTTACCGCTAAAAGATACCACTTAAAACGGAAATGACAGCGTTTTTTATATTATTTCTTCGAGTGCACCCTGAAAGACATGACGGCCAACAATTCTGGCGTTTAGTCCTGAACACCCTAAGCGAAATCACAATCCTTGATTTATTCCCCCAAGCAAGAGGACGAGCATCGCCGACCTTTTCATGTTGGAGTCCCCCCAGGGGGTGTAATGTCAAACTTTTGTAGAATTCTAGTCTTAACGCAGAGAGTCTCAACTCTCTTTGAAGCTTGTTGGAGAACCAGACCAAAACCATTTGTATGCGAAAACTTGCCGCGCTTGCCGTTGGAAATAACAACGTGCGATAATTGCAAAAGGATTTGTTTTTTAATCACTCTGCAGTGAAATGAAAACAAAATAATTTCACCAGTCGTATAGGAGGGGGCATCTCGTTTATCGATCAGACAAGAACCGCCCTAACATAGTTTATTACAACAAACATAAACGGCCCTGGATAGGTATTAATTCAACAAATGTACCGAACAAAAACACGTAAATTTTACGAAAACAAAATTTCCAGAATGAAGTGATCAAAAGCGGAGATGCCGTCGAGTGACAACTCCTAACGGA